TTGAACGGGTTTCACAACTGCGATACAAGACGCGCTAACTGGTGATTCCCCTTTAACCCTTCTACAATCCATTTATTCTGTACATTGGAACCAATTTGCCGGCGAATGCAACTTATTATTTCGAACTAATGTGTATCGAGTATCATCAGTGAACCTTTCTAAACGTATCTGAAACGTTCTCGTATTCCCGGCTCTTAAATGCTCTCACGATCCGTTCTTCTCAGAGGTTAGGTTAACTCGGGTTAAAAAAAGTAACGCAACGAATCAAGAATGACGATTTATTAACATCGACGTGACGATAAGCGAACGCGTGATGGACAGGTAAAAATCGCAACAAAAGTCATCACGCACATGTTCCACTGTTGATCGCGGTATGCGCGAACAGTTTGTTTTTTGCCCGACGATAAATCTGAGGCTTCTTATCTGTCAGCAACCGACTGCCGCCTGTTGTAACATTCGGCGATACAACACGAACAGATAACGAGATGTTCTGATCGTGAGCTTCCATCGAATACCGTGTATACATCGGTAATCCTGATCTTTCGAGCGTTACTTTAGGGAATTTAGGTTGATGGACGTTGCGCGGTGCGTTTACAGTTCTAGAAACTATTTTCTCCGCGACGTTTCAAGAGACGGAAAAGAGGTCAATTTCGAATAAACAAAAAATTATGATACATGGATTTTTGTAAACTTTGTAATGTAATCTCGCATCGAGTTACGTGAAGTCAACAAAAATTTAATTAAAGAAAAGACGCGATGGTATTTTTCATGCATTCGATGAGGAGGCCCACTGAAAGGAGTGTTGACAGAATAAATTACTTTTTACAAGCGTAGCGATAACAATCTTGTCCAATATTGATTCGAAAGAAAAAACTTACAAACACGGGTCACAATGAAAATCTAATTAAAGGATAAGGCGTCTGTTGATCGAAAACACATAAAAGTTTCCCACCTACTTTACTGCACAGACGATTAAACTTCCAAGGTGCTTCAGCTGGTGATCGCGAAACGTAGGCAGACACCGGGCGTACACCTACGTGTTTCTAAATAAGTCTTATTCGTAGGCTGGCTCTGCAGAGCACAGACGAAATGTTCGTATTATTATCTATACGAGATTTTAAACGTGTCACCGTCTGTATCGTCGCGAGTCGAGTACTATGATCTTTTTGTGTAACCTTACACCTACGGAACAAAAGGTAATCGATCGGAGCGGCCACAAGATCGTGCTTTCCATTTCTAGGTTAGGGTCTACATTTACCCGCTGGATGATTCCATCATTCGCTATGCGACAATTTAAATTTAAGTTCAGGCTCCTTTGTTAAACGAGGTTAGGTTAGGTCTACTCGGATTAAATTGGAACGAGGTTAGGTAAGGTCTATTCGTAGTAGATTAGATTAGAGTAGATCTACTCGCGTCAGATCGGATTAAATTAGGTTTGGTTAGGTTCATAATTATAGTTTAGGCTACGACTAACCGGGTATATGTCGTTCGATGGTTAACGCACTAAGAACCTTCTGCAGGATGCTGTCTCTAAAATCCTCTCGAGCACTGCAATGGTTACGAGTTTCCTCTTGTACGTAACCGATCCGAAACATATTTCCCTGGTTTAGTCTTATACCGCAGACTCTATGCAGTACATAAATCCTACATGAAACCGGGATTACCCGAGTATGACCCCACTACTGAGGTATTACGATCTGTTGCGCAGCTAAAGTACAGTTTTCAATTTGTTCAAAGCGATATTTCTTTCGTTTTTTATCAGTTATTAACAAAAATCAATATATATCAAACTGTACTCCGAATAAGAGGTGCTACTATTGATTACTGACATCTTATCGACACCTTAACGATATATCGATAATATCGTTCACACTAGCAAGAACAGGAAGGACGTAACACATGATTTTCGTACAAATTAAACTTCCAATTCGATCTAATTTAACTTAACTTATATAAAATATAGGTTATACTAATAATCAGACTACACTTATACTAATAATTATATTTGAATAGTACTGTGAACCAAGATAGGTTAACCGACATTATCGATATATTGAATAATCGAATTTTGAAATAACCGTTAGCACCACCTGTAGCTTGAAAATTCCAAAACGATCAACGTACATTCGATAAGAACGTTATCGAACGTTTCGAAGAATCGAACATAAAAATTGTATTTGATTTTTCGAACGGCTCTTTGCTATCTTTCAGTTCTAATCGAAAGTCGCTCTTACGCGAAACACGTGACGTCGCGCGTCGATACGTAAATGCACGTAAACGACGCTCGAGCTGAAAACACGTGCGTTAAGGTTATGTACGCGGCATACGAGCGAAGAAACTAACGTAGAAGAGACAGGAACAAGAACGGGAAGAGGAGTAGGAGAGAAGCGGAGAAGACAGTGAACGAGGGAAGGAGAGACTAAGGACTACTGCCGTTTTATTGGCAGAGGTGAACGACACTGCCTACTGCAAGGTGGATGCCTGTATTTCGCATAACCGCTCGAACGTTGGAACGTGCCACGAGTTTATAGGTCACTATATACTGTTTTCAAGCACCATCGCCCATACGAAAATAGTGTAAGTTCGTTGGTCAAGATTGATTCAACGACACGCTAACGCGTCATAGGTTAATCCCCCTTACAAACGTTTCTTTCGATCGTACATTGCCACCTTTTTTTCCTTTCTTTATCTCCAAGAAACAACCAAGTCACCCTTTGTTACTGCTTTTGTCTTTATTCGCTGGCATTTATAATACGACTGCGTTCTTTCTCTCGACTATTCCTATTTTTTCATTTTTGGGACAACGGCAGCCATGCGGGGCCCGTGACCAAATTAGCTTAATATTGTGAAGTTTTTAAACTGTAGAAGTGGGTCTTTGAAAGTTGCTCTCGTCCATAAAAGTTGGAAAGATCTGTGTGGTAGAGCCTACGTGCTTATGTCTGCTGATTATCTTGCGATTTTCATAAAAAATCAAACTGATAAAGTGAATCTCCATCTTTAAATATATCACACTTCAAATACTTCACAGCACGAAACCGATTTCGTTCGAACTCTGTAACAGCTCGCAACAACTGTACACAATGGAAAGCAGAAAATTATGTACATTTTCCGCGATGTATACTTAGTAAATAAAAAAAAAGGAAAAATAACGTTGATTTTGAAACTGTAATTTCAACGGTATATGCAACGGTTCTTTCTGAAAATGTACAATTAATCCTGTATAACCAACTTCCAACTGCAGGAGATAATAAGCTTGTACAGATTATGTAAGAGTGATTTGAAGGACGGACGACAGGGGAACGGCCTAATCAACGAGAACAGAATCAGAATTCCACGGATAATCTGATTTTACGGATATTGTCACGGTATTGTCAACTAGAAAGAGATTTATGAATCGAAAAAATAGAATCAACGACAGGATAATAAGAGTACGTGACGTAAGATGACACGCACATGGCGTAACAGAAATTTGCAAGCATCGATATAAATTCTACTTTTCAATTCGTACATAGTCATGCATACATATGTATACTATGTGCATACAATAAACTCAATGTTTTTTTCTCAAAGTTATACAGAAGAAACGAACATTTTTTGATGTCGCTTATCGTGGTTATGGGTAGTACTTAAAATTTATATCGCAGGAAAATCAGTCGAGTAACGTGAACTGACCTCTGCTTTGCTGCTTCTCATCGATTTTCAGAACATACGTCAATACGAAGTACGCTGGACACGTATTCATAGAATTAAAAGTTATCCTCTTAAAATAATCGATAAACCTCAATTTTTGTCATCCTATGTCATAACTGCATGAAACATTTAGACAGAAACGATAAAACTTCACACTCAATTCGAACATGCTTTCCCTCAAATATTTTGAGGTTAGTTTCGACATCTATAAGCGTATCGAGCAATCTAATGTATAATTCGTGAAAATGACATCAAACTTATATTATTTGTATATTTCATACTGATAAATATGTTATTATACTTGTATACTATAATAAATTTAAAACTTCCTTTCTTATTATGCATGATTATAATTTAAATGTTTCGTAAGAAGTAAATTATAATGTAATGGAACAAATGCACTTTCAAATTTTTCTTGAAAGTATGGTTATCACATGTTATCGCAAACATAGAAAGTTTAGGCTAGAAAAGATTAGAATAAGACACTTCACGACTATTTATACTGAAACCGAAGTAACATATTAACTCTGTTTTTTAGCAGACAATAATTCCATTCCATCTATACATTATAACTGCTCAATACTAAAGAAAAATGAAATGCATTAATTATATAGATCCAATAATGCTTCAGTCTCATAATACTAAATAGACAGATTCAACTTTCATGCCTAATGCTGATAAGTGAACTTCGATATATTCAGAGTGAGATATAAAATAATCCATAACCATAACCAATTCAAATGGCAACTAGTATTTCATCAACTTAATGTTAAATAATTCATAAACATAACAATTATTTGTCATATTTTAACCGCATATTTTATGTTAATCAATTTAGCTGCAACTATGTAAAAAAATAAGTATCTTGTACTGTTATTATTGTTATTCAAGAATACAAGATTTATAAAGGAAAATATCAAAAAATCTATGTTAATTGCTTAGTGCATAATTATTGCATGTCTGCTATGTATTAAATTTTAGTTTCTACATACAACAAATAGTTTGTAACCATTCTTGTTGCGACTGAATAAACATGTTGCATATAATATTATAGATTCTGATGCATATTATTAATTAAATACTTCAAACTATAGTTATAATACATATATAATATAAAATATTATTGGAGTTTCAAACCCATTTCTCTCGAAAGCAAAGTGGACATACAATATTTATACGCCAAGCTACAGGCGTCTCCATTCTCATAATCTGCCTTTATATAAATCATAATTATATTTGTGGCATCATTATGAAAATGTATATGCAAGAAACATACAAGAAAGTAAATAGAATACAAAGTTATGACTAACCTTTGAGCTGCGGCAACTGCTGAAGCTCAACATCTTGGGAGTTACGGTAACGGGATGAACCCTGTGACTTTTTGTTTTTCTTCTTGAGAGATCTCTTGGCAAAGGGATCTATCCGGTCCACGAAAGTCGCTGACGACATGTTGAGACTAACAGAGGCACTGTGAGAGCTGGAAGGAAGTGGAACGCTGGAGGTACTTTCGTGCCTCGGCTGCACTTTTCCAACGTTGGCCGCGACTAAAGAAGATTGCGTCCACCCCGGGGAAGCCGCATTCCGCGTTGACGAGGATGAACTCACTACACTCACAAGGACAAAGCAGGCACTACACGATTACAAAGCGCACGTGGTGTGTTTGGAATCACGTTAACCTACTGTTTAGACGTTCCTGAGGCAGAGAGGGGTGAAAATTGATATTGATGCGTGCATAGCACGAGGAGTTATTCCGCGTAATAGGGCAGCGTGCTAAATACAGAATGCTTGTCGATCGACGAGGTCCACCAAGTTCACGATTCGATCGAAATTTCGGAAGAAATTGCCCGCTCGTTTGTGTATCGGCCGAGAAAAGGGGCGCGATCGCTTGTTAGGCGTTGTCACACGCGAACGCACGCCCCGTCGTACGTCGAATCTCCCACCTACACTGTGCAACACAGAAGCGGCACCGTGTGTCTTCCCTCGATCGTACGTGGATTACGCGTTACCTGAAACCACCGGTCCTTTTTCTCAGCAGCTTCGATGTTCTTCGATTTGTCCCGTTCGAACAAGATACACGATTCACAGCACCGGGAGACCGTGAACGGCTGGCAGGCTTACTGTACCGTGCCTGCGTGTCGGGCACCGAGTCGCTAAAGAAGCACCGTTACGAAATACCTCGTAGTTCGTCTGCTGGCGGTCTCTCGCCGCGCGAAATCTATCTTCCACGAATTTTCTTTTGTCTACGTAAACGGTAACCGAACTTCGTTCGTCCAATTAAACGCACGCACTCGCTTAAACGCCGCGATGGGGGACACAGAGGCTCGAACAGCTCTCGGCCGCCATCAGCTGCTCGGACCGACGAGCTTCTTTCATTTTTGCCGGAACGACCGACGAACCGTCAGGCATTGAGCCCTGCCGAAACGTCTTCCAGCATTGTACGTTTTATTGCGCGTACACGAGCCACTACAATTTCGGCATCTACCCGTACGTAAAATTGAAATGAAAAAGAAAAAAGGATCTTTGCACCGTCGCCCTCTTCACTTATTGAAAACCCGTCAAGAGGTGCCTTGTGTGCCTGAAAATAGTAATGTGCACTCGGCAATCATCGGCCGGAGATTGCCGATCGAACACGAATACCCACGAACACTATAGATCGCGCCACTTCACAAATCTTTAACGTTTGTTATTTCATCGATATATTTTCGTTGGAAGTATTTGAATTTGTGTTTAAATGATTGCTGTATTAATAATTTGATAAATTTTTGACTAAAAATTATGTGAAACCATGTTTCCATTTCTAATTATTACTTTTCAACGATGCAACACTGTTCACTGTTTTTGTGGCTATGAACGTGTCTTAACAACGCTAGATATAATTGTATATTATATGCATTTACATGTATGCATATATATATTTATCTTTCATGTATATTTTAAACGAATTATTTTACATTTATAACTGTACCTAACATAAACTTTTGTTTCCCTTTTATTACTGTATATTTTCATGTAAATCTGTATTTGAATCCCTTCTGTATTTTTGTTACTCACGCTATATACGCTAATAGATTTCGCATAGTATACACGGCATGCGTGATTTTACTGATCTATATTGTGTTTCGCAAGGGAACGCGCTGGATTCAAAACTCTCTTTATTATTAGTATGATGCCAATCTATTATCAATATTTCAAATACACAATAAAGAAAAACATATGAATAGTCGAAAGAAATGATGATGTAGAAAAGTAATTTGTGTAAAGATCACAGAACACACACGCATGGCGTTACATGTCGTTTCATCGTTTGTGTTACCCTTGACTACGAAGTGTATTAAAACTAACCAGAGTAATCTGCGCAACATGAACAATAATTTATCGTTACGATTTTCTCACAAAATGAGGCTAAGTTTCTATTGGTAGAATGTATTATTATCTAACAGTGACAAAACGAGCTTAGAGGAGTTTAGTGAAAGCCAGAGGAGACTGTGGAGATTTGAAAGACCTAGGGGGAGCCAAAAATCTAGTTGTTCTATTAGTGTAAACCGACCCTAAGGAATACAAAGTGTAACCATCAGATGACGTTACATAATTCATCATATTTTATAAACAGTATACTTGTTAAAACGATTCATTAAATGTTAAAGTAAAATATCTACTTAAACTGTATATTTAGTTTAAACTAATAAAATTTAAAACGTATAACACAACTGCAAAATTATGTTGTTATTGCATCACATTACATGACCTATTATATTCTTGTTGGTTAACCTTCAAATGATTATCTTATATTATTTCGGAAACTAATACGTATTTCTTAATGTTCACTTTGAAAGTAAACAAAAACGATCACTTGGCATTTTGATAGTAATTTTTTTTTATTGGATCCTTCATGTGTTCGGTATCAAAAGCAAGTGCTCTAAGTCTGTTTACTCGATGTCCTGGCTTATACTGTGGAAGGGAATTGTCTCCTGATGGCAATTGGACCGATTGTGGTGCGTGCCCTCGAGGTTTTAGGGCAAATGCATCTTCTATATGTGTACCTTGCGATGATGAGCCACAATTTTATGACTGGTTATACCTTGGGTTCATGGTACTGCTAGCATTGGTATTACATTGGTTTTGTATTGATATGGTATCTATGCGACGCAATATACCGAAGGAAGTGATTGCACTACATTTATCTGCTTTGATTGAGGTTGTTGCTGCATCTCTTATCACTTTACAATTAACAGATCCTATAGGTACTTTTACAATTAGATCATGTAGAGCCACAAAACTTTCAGACTGGTATACGTTATTGCACAATCCTAGTCCAAATTATGAAGAAACTTTACATTGTACGCAAGAAGCAGTTTATCCTCTGTTAGTACTTCCAAAACTTTAACTTATTGTTTCTTATTTCAACAGTTACTTAGTTATTGAACTTTTAGGTATACTATGGTTTTCGTCTTTTACACCTTAGGAACAGCTATCATGTTATTGATAAGGCCACTGATTGCTAAGAAATTTTTACCAGAACAAGGAAAGTTTTCAATTTATGCTGCTCTATATTTCTATCCTATTCTTGCATTGTTACATGCAATTGGTAGTGGTCTGATATGTAAGTAAAATACTCAGTGTTGCAAAGACAGCATATTTCTAATTTTTGCATTGTCTTACAGATTATTCATTTCCATACATAACTATAACACTATCAGTTTTATCTAATGCAGCACATTTTGCATTTAAATTAAATCAGGTAATTCCTTTTAAATACTTTATATAAATGTGTTCGAATATTGAAATTTATCAATGCTTATTCTTCTTTTCAGACAATGAAGTCATTATTATTAAGTTCCGTATCGGATATGAAAAATATAATAGTTATTTTAGGCCACTGGCTATTACATGGATATGGGGTAGTCGCGGTAGCGACTCTTCGTGGCTTAAGTTTTCATCCAGCAATGCTCACTTTAGTTCCTTTACCAGCATTATTTTATATTCTTACAGCAAGATTTACAGATCCGGACAAACTTCATATCCAATAAACAGTATCATAAAAATATTTATTGTTGATCTAATTAAAATAAAAACTTCATTTTTTGCAGAAAAAGTGGCGAATTAATTAAAACATTTTGCATCTTTGCTGCATCACATTTAATTACATTGATTCACAATTCATACAAGCGATAATATAATGATACATAATAAATGCCATTGTTTAAGATTGATAAGCAAGAGATTATTATAAATAAGTTGAGCATATTTTATTTCGGCAGTTAACTCTGTGGAACGAAAGTTAAGACAACTGTACTCTTTGCCGATATAGGAACGCTTTTAGAGTACAACTTTGTTCTGTAATGGAAAAAATATTTTATCAGTAATGAAACATTGCAAAATTTATTCCACGAAAATAATTAAATAATACTTTACTTTATTGTATCGCCATCTTGCACATAGTTAGGACTATGCGTAACTACACTAATTTCTTCCGAAATTTTTGGTATGGAAGATAAATCCAATATGGTAGGCTCCTCTGCTGATTGATAGGCCACAAGATAGCCAGGATTACCGCTCTTTAACCTAAACAATTAATCGACTTTAATATAATTTTTCAAACATTTAATTTTAGCAATATTAATTAGATTAATATATATAGATTAGTCAAAATGGTTACTTATAATTATAAAAAAAAATCTCATGCAGTATGTTAGTAAGAGCACTCACCAGCTCCTGTGTTGCATAGCAGGAAGCATGGAACAAGTCAAATTAATCTTTGGTTAGTAAATTACATAATAGTATGTACGTTTGTGTCAGTTCTGTGAATTATTGGGGGTTTTTGTCAAAGGACAATTGAGACGATTTATTGCAATTGAGATCTAAATGGATTTAACAATCTTTGATATTTACGTATAAGATTGATTCTACACACCATAAATTTTAAGTGTTATTTGTCGGTAATTGGCATTAATTGTTGATATAAAGTTAATGTACAAATTAAAAACGAGTATTAGTAATTATATAAAAGTACTACTACATTACCTGGTATAGACAAATACACTTCCATTAACAGTTTCAAGCATTGTCTCTCCATAAAGGAATGTTGAACTTTCACGTGCTTTTGATAATGTTGCAAAAGCATCCCTTGCGGATAACGTATCATTTAGCCTGAGTATCGGAGTTCCAGGTAAAAGTAACGTCATGAGCGTTAAACTGTCCACAATGTCTGCAGGCATTCTTTGTCTCATGCTTTGCGTTTTAGTATTAATCTAAGATACAATTACATTGTACTTCATTTGTTATAATTAAAGGTATTTTAATCACTATTATTGATAACTTACGTTCCAAGCAGGCCAAGATGTGAGGTTGAGCCAATGTGAAATACCTTTTTGCAAGGTTGTAGCATTTATACTGCTATCTGCATTTGCAAGGAACTGAGAATTTTGTGGTATATGAATAAGTCGCATTTTTTCATTGTAAACTTGTAACATATCAGTACCAATATCATCTTGAAGGGTGAACAACCTAAAATATAATTAAATACACAAGTTTATGAGATATGTAACATATACATAATTATCATCAAGTGCAACTTACCCTGAGCCTCCTGTTTCATTATGCACTCTTTCATGCCACTTTGATAATACCGCGGCATTTTCCGGGCGATCCCTAGTATAAGCATGTACTAGTGAATCATAATTATCTGCATCAGTAGGAACTTTACTTCTATATTCATCACGAAGTTCTGGATCTTCAGTTAGATACTGAGTATTGGCTAAACGGAAACCACTGATCCCCAACTTTAACCAGTGGCTTAAAATTTCCTATAGGAATAATAAAGTGTTATTTACCATATTTCAGAGTTTAACATAACTACAGAGATAAAAAAGAGCTTACCAAAAATTCTCCCACCACTGCTGGATTATTGTAATTCAATTCGGGTTGTGTTTTATTAAACTGATGAAGATAATATTGTTCTCTTTGTTCATTCCATTCCCATGCTGATCCTCCATTTACACTCAACTAAATAAAAATATGTATTGTAAAGTATAATATGAAGTAATAAAATTGTAATTTGAGACAAATTAAAACTAACCCAATTGTTAGGTGGATTACGTCTACCATCAGAAGCTGTTTGTCCATCAGCCCAAACATAGTAAGATGTAAATGGATCTTCTTTTGCTACTGAACGTTTGAACCATTGATGTTCAGTTGATGTGTGAGTTGGATCTAATTCTAAAATAATATGCTGATCTCTTTCTTTTGCACTCTTTATGAGAGCCTCCAGATCACTTATAGTTCCCACTTCTGGCTTAATATCCCTGAAATCTTCTATTCCTCCTACATTCCAAAATAATATATATCAGTACATACATTTTATATTAATGTAAAAAGAACTATATGTATTAACACATACCTGTTGCACTTTCTTTAATTACAGATGCAAGAGACACTGCATCTACATTTTGTGCTTTCAAAGTATCTAACAGAGATTCAATGCCTTTCAAGTTATGACTGCTTGTCTCTACAGGATCTAGCTGTACAATAGGACTTCTTTCCCACCATTCTTTTGGTTTTGGTGCTGTGCATTTTGGTGCCATTACTACAATAGCTATGGCACCACCTAGCATAGCAACCCAAAGTAGCCAAAAGCTAATAAATAAGAACCATCTTAATCGAATCCAAAATGGGTCGTTAGCAAATTTCATTAATTCCTCCTTGCCCATTCCAGAAAGGGCTTGTTTAACAGTCTCAATATCGATCTTAGCATCTCCATTCTCAGAAATAAATTTGATTACCTATCGATACAGAAAGTAATGTATTAAGACTATCAACACTAATAACCTAAAAAATTTATTCTTTTATTGCATAAGAACTAAAAAAAGCGTATTTTAAAAAATTGTTGAATTAAAGGTTTAATAAATATTTTTTATATATTCATTTGACTATTCAGTGAGTCATGGTTCTTTCCTCAAAGCTTGTTCCAAGCATGATGCAACACTAAGTTCTTAAAAGATGAATAAATATAAGATGAGATTAAGGAAACATCAATTATATTTATATGAAATAAAAACGAGATGACGAAACAAAAGAAATGCTTTCAACAGTGCACGAAAATGGAGCATCTTATTGATCGCACGAGGGTCTAGGTGTGCCCTAAAACATGCCCAGTGACCTACCTCTGCATCTTTCACGGGAGTGACTTTATTCTCGTCTTTGAGAATTTTCTCATGCACCTCATCGTCAATATCAGTTTCGTTATTCGGCTTTCCCATAGCGATATTTTCTCCTTTGTCTTGCCTGTTGCAGTCTTCGTCCGGTAGCGCCTTGTACGTGGCAACTGCCGTTTCCTTACTGTTCCCGTTCGCCTCAGCGCTATCTAAATCCAACCTCCCACTCTCCATAATGATCTCCGACCAATTTCAAGGACGTTTTCAAGCAATTGCTCGTAACGGGGATGTGTGAATCTGTCGCACAGATATCCTTTCTTTCCTCTTAAGTTTCAAACCACTCTTCTGTACCGTTTCCTTAACGTTCCAGCTCCAGGAGCAACTGGACCAACGCGTTTTACCCTATCGAGATATCTGACTGCTCGTTCCCCTTTTTGGGCCTATTTATTTGTACTACCACAGATGCAGTGGTATAAGTAAAATCAGGGACGACCCTTGCACCTGGAAGGGCACCGTCACTTCGGAATTTGATAAAGATAATATTAAGCTATGTTACCTTTTGATAAAGCCAAATAACACTCATAGAACAAACACTACTCTATATTTATATCATTAATAGAGTTCATAGATCAAAATGACCAACCCAATTTTTGTAACAATTTTGTAATTTTATTGTAAAAGCATTTGACAAAAGTATTTTATAAGTAAAATACGAAAAAAAGAAAGTAAGTAATATTTGTGTATTTTGGAGTTAATTACTTTGGCAAATGAAATAGTTACACCTAAAATAAGGGTGTATAATTAATTGAACACTTAGATCTCAGTTTGTACGCTTATTTTTATATTAATTTATTCAAAGATTTTTACAAATATGTATACAATAGTTAAGAATCGTTTAAAAGATGTTTAAACGATTAAAAAAATTCGTTTCGTACAATATTTTGCCTGGGGTTCCATAACACCATAGCCCAGAACTGATCGTTTCATCGACGAATACTTCCACGCAGGGACGGCTTGATGTAAAAGATATCGAGCGAAACCATTTTTGACGTCCCTTTAGTAATTTTTAAGTAAAATCTCAGTAAGTAGAAGGGTGGATAGGTTGAAAACTTCAGAAACATTATATTCTATTTTCTAAGGCCGACATGAGTGCCAAGTGAAGGCATGAAAGTTATTTATATACTTAAGAACAATATTTAGCAAAAATTCTCGTCTTTTGTTCCACCCAGATGTAGAGAATAGAAAAGAATTCTATGACATTCAAATTCTTAAATTTTCTAATTTCTGTATATAATAAATATAAATGTTGCTCGATTCGTACGTGTAACATGCTGACGTTGCTTGTATGAAAAAAGCAGGGCATAAATCGTCAGTTGTGCGTATCGTTTGCATGACAGCTGCATTTATTAATAATACAAATTACCATGAGATATTTATAAATAGTTTTTTACAATATGATTGATACGTACATTCTTTTACACAGATAAATATACAAATAAAAAAATAATACACGTATGTACAATCTACTTAATATTTATTATGTTGCTTCCTAATTGGTTTCGTCCTAATCTCTCGCCGTCTTTAGATCTCCGTTCAGTTTCGCAGCATAAGCAATTACGACCTTATCCTATATCTAAAAGATAACTATCTTTTTTCGACAACTGATCTTCTATCACGGATTTTGCCGGAAACATTTGATTAGTTTCACGTTCTTCGGTATGTGGAAAATTTACTGAAATTAGATTTAGGTTATATAATATCGAAATTATTTAATCTAAAATCAGTGACAAGATTCGTTCAAGTACTTACTGCTCTTGTGGCATTCAAGGTAATTATTTTCCCGAGATTAGTACATGTTTGTATTTGCAAACAACAATAAGATAGTATGGATGCAAGGAGCACCACTATCAATAATACCCATAGAAACCAAAATATGCATAATCGAATATTCATCCATATTGGTTCAATAGTATAGTATCTAAAGTTGTCATTCACCGATTCTGAAACGAAGTGTTTTCTCCATGTACATGTCTGCCTTGTGACTTTGTTTCTTCTTAATGTGGGTATTTATGTTAAGTGTAACAACAGTAAATGTTTAAGTAAGAGTCGTATTCGTATGTTTCTTTTATGCAATATTTACATCGTTCACGCGTTAAATTCTTCCGCAAATTCGTTCATACTTCAATTACAATTCATTGAATTTTAGTTTGAAGCCGTCTTTCAACTCACGAATTTTCGTTACAGGAACGAAATATATGCAACCATTGCGCGCGCATAGCAGCAAAACATGATTGGTTGAGTTCAAATTTGAAAAGTGAATCATTCGATTATACGTTGCATAGGATGTAAACACAATGCAGATATGAAGATAATAGAGTAAATACGAACTATACTTATTACAATAAAAGCTTGGAGATTTCCAAACTTTTATCACAGCGTTCTACTTCGGATCGTGGAAAGTTTTTTCGAGCTACTTTTTTTTACTATATTATTCTGTAAAGTTTAAAAGTTCCAGACATCAAAGTCTGTAGATCTAAAAATTTTAATGGAAATTATTATTAGAGACAAAATGCAACAAAGTTCCAAATATTTGTCACTTAGTAAACAAGGGGCTCTGTCTAACCTCGTTACGTCACTGCTAGGAGGGTTCGAAGCTTCACGATTCGAATTATGGCTTTCAAAGCTCAGATTTTATAAGCTTAATTTCACTTGCTTTCATTTCGCGTATCTTTAAAAAAAAATTAATCAAACCTGGGTCCTTCTGTTTTCCATTAGATCCATTGATTTGTATCGCCTCGTAGATTGATTTACCGTAAAGGAGGCGAGTGTATTCGTTAGGTTCTTTACGTTCCATTGTCTCATACTTCTTCACGCACTATTAGAATGACAATTAACGCGTTTTTTAAATCATCTTCTTTTCGTTTGCTTTTAGACAGAACGAGGATACGTACGTATGTTTACGAAGGCGAGACGGCGATTTCGGTTGATCGTTAATAATGAATCGACAGAAGAAAACGGCACAACAAAGAGACGAGCGCGGTATTCATGTGCACGAACAAATATAGACACGAATAGATACCAATTGAATGGCGAAAACTCTTTTGTCGCCCCTATTATTGTCTTTCGCTCTTATCTTGCGGGAGATACGTTAAAGGCGATCAAGCATGTATTTACGCCTTGTTTTAAATTCACTGTCGCCTTGATTAGAACAAGGGAATCAACGGCGCATCGTGAAAGCGTAACTCGTCTCGGATGCATCATGAAATGTAATTTGTGATTGCAAACATTGTGTGACACACATATTCGCCCCGTTTACCGACTACCAAACTATTTTAAGCTTTTCTTTACCTCACTTTCTTGTTTGTATTGCAAATAGCGATAAATCCGTATCGCCTGTTACTCGCATGTACGACTTTGCACTGATTAAAACGTCTTTATATACTAAACATGATTTTAGTGTCCATGCGACTGACTTCTAGACACATGGCACTTGGGGTTATATTGCTTAGCTTGTTATTAGTCATTCAATACATTCAAAGTTCGTTGTATGAACATATCTAAATGTGTTCTCATCAATATACATATATTGCAATGACAGTTTAGAATCGGAATGACACTTGAGGTCAGTGTCTCTGTTGACAGAAATAGATACGCCGCGTATAGATAGGACCATATCAACATACATGCGTAAAATGATGATGGGTAAACTCTAGAAGAAATCTAGAGGAATATAGGAACTAGGGGGATCTAAAAAATTCGGTGAAATTATCAAAAACACCGCTTAAAACTATAGTGAATCAAAATAAACATACGTGTTTAATGTTTTTAGCAAATGGCAGCTTTTAATGTAAGAAAATGAAAATAAAAATTTTCAATATCTGAACAATAGTGTCATGATAATTGTACTTATTGTTAACTGTAATATTGATTCGAATGTAGCAGCAGAACTAGTATTCGTGGAGTTTGATTCTGGAATTGTAGTAGATGTTTCAATACGTGAATTGTTCTCCTCGCCCTTTAATACCAATGCCGCATTGGCAGTGAGCACGAAGTTGCTTGCTGAAATCACTTCCCTAAAAAAATAAAGTTAAATATTTTCTATGGCCTGTATTTTTTATTACCGCTTGAACAGCGTTTAAACTATGAATATATATTTACGGCATGTTAATTGCGTTACTGGAAGCAACAGCGATTTCCATAGAATCTTCTAGGTCGGGATACAATGACGTTAAATTAACTCTTTCCTGCCGAAGACCCAGATTTATGACCACTATATACACTGAGGAATTCTCCAAAAACCTAATAACAAATCATGTTGGATGAGTATATGAATAGATACTTCATTGTTTTATACAGACCTTTTTAAAACAAATACATGGTCATTATTTAAAGTTTGAAATTCATATTGTCCATGAGTAAAAATTTTATCTTTTCTAAGAGCAGCAAGAGCCTTATAGGTATTTAAGTTGCTCTGTGTCTCATTTTGTTGTGTTTCAACATTCCTATCTGGGTACTCTGAATGAACAGGAAGATATGTAGTCTTATTGGTTGAAAATCCTGCAGATGTATCAGAGTTCCATTGCATTGGTGTTCTTGCAGGGTCTCTGGAATAATTTTCGTATGTTTTGTTTGTCCTTGAACGACCCATAGGATCAATTGTTTCATTCCATGACATCTTTCTGTCCAACATTGCAATCTCTTCTCCATAATAAGTGAATGCCTGACCAGGTAATAGTAAATTGAGCATGTGAAGTCCATCAACACGGTTTAGTCCAATCCTTGAAGCTGCTCTTGAATTATCATGATTAGAAAGCTAGAATTATTTAAAACAAGCTGTTTAGATTAAGTACAATGGTTGGAGAAGTATTATTATGATATATGTAACTTTACCACCCAATTTGTGCTGGCATTATTTGGAAGTTTTTCAAACCAATCCTGTAGAACATTTTTAACATGTTCTGCAGTACTTGTATTTTGAATATTTTTTATGAAACGAAAATTATAAGGTGGTATTCCTTGGTGAGTATCATTACCATACAATGAAATCAATACTTCATCAGAATCATAAGATTCAGCAACCAATAATCTATACATTAAAGGTACATTATTGCAATATAAATACTATTAATAAAAACCAATGGAATTTATGCTATTTTCATACATACTTTGAACTAGCATTGTTTTTTTCTACCCAGTCATTGATATATGACCTAAATGTATACAGAAGAGCTGTATTTTCTGGTAATCCAGTTGTGAAGGTTCTATTTTCTAAATCAGGTTCATCCCTTAACTCTAGGTCCTCAAAGAAATACGATACTGCATTGATTCGAAAACCATCAACTCCTCTTTTCAACCAGAAGTTAAAAACATTCTGAAACGTGAAGACAGTCCTCTAATTTTTTTTGTTCAATTATGAATTCTGGTTGCCATAACTGCAAATACTTTACCAATAATTCTTGAATCACATTTTCATTTCTCAAATTGAGATCAGGCTGGGATCGATGAAATTTGTGATAATACCACTGTTGTCGTACATCATGCCATGTCCATGCAGATCCATTTTTGTCACTGTAGGTACTCACCTGAATGAAATATAGAATTTAGTTAGATTAAGGAACTCACTCTAAGAAGTACAAGTACATTACCCAATTATTAGGTGGTATGTTTTTGCCCTCAGCATCTTTCGTTCCATCTGCCCAAATGTAGTAATCCTTGTATGGCAAAACATTTTTACTCGATTGCAGAAACCATTCGTGTTCATTACTAGAATGATTTGGTACCACATCCAATATAACTTTTAAGTCTGAAACATTTTATTTGGTACATTTTGGTTATACTTTATAATTTTGGTACATTTATACTGAACATAATAATCAACCACTGAAACATACCACGTTCATGTGCTTTTCCTACGAATTCATCAAAATGCTCGAGATTACCAAAAACAGGATTTATGTCGGTGTAATTGGAAATATCGTAACCAGAATCAATCAGTGGCGACGGATAAACTGGATTTAACCAAATCGTGTCGATGCCAAGATCTTGAAGGTAATCAAGACGTTTGATAATACCTGTGTAAAAACATGATGTACTAATGTTTTCTGCAAATGCTATCTTAAAGAATGCATTTGTTTACGCGATTGTAAAATAAGCACTTCTTATCACGGTCGATCGATTACTGTATCGAGTTTCACATCCTGCAGTTTCTGTGTTATTGGTGCATGGAAAAATATTTCCATCGTACGATAACGTATCGATTGTGCATTATCATTCGCCTCAAAGGAAAACTGAAATAGCTTCGGTTGGTATCTTGACCAACCAATGATAATAGGGAGCAGCGGATTTTTAGTTGAAATTGTTTCAGAATTATAGAGGACTTCCATTACTGACGTAATTGAAATTTTTGTCTATGGTGGACGAAGCATCCATTTACTAATAGCGTAAATGTCGCATACTAGGAATAATCAAGTAGCTTTTGAAACAATTAAAAAATTTCGAAATCTGTGAATCAAGCATTTGAAAATATAGGAGCTTGGAAGAGTTCAGTGTTCTCGGATTCTCTCTCAAGGATGTGTAATTCTTTTACCTTCTGGGTAGGTACATTTAATTCGCGATTAATCACCGTGTACTTTGTTTTCGACCTTAACATTTATTGTATAAGCAGACCACTTGTCGGAAGCATCAACACACCTGTGGATTCTGAGTTCAGGTCATAACGTACCCTTCAAGTCACCCTCACCATCTCCGTTGCTATCCTGGAATCCTCTTGGCCAGATTTGATAAACCAACGCGGTTTCCCACCATTCCTTGTCCACCAGTTCGTTACACTTGCCAGCAGTGGCCAAAACTAACACGGTCAACAATAAACGTCCCTTGAACGTGGTCATCGTCGTTGATTTCACTGAAACTAACGAGCTGACGTATGACTTATCCTGTTTATATATATGTAAGTATATACGTTGTAACTGTGACAGAAATCGGGTTATTATCGGTGCTATCACGATGTGTCCTTATCGCGTTTAGTTTCTTGTTCGAGAAATGTCGAGACCACGCCATTGTTTACGTTGAACAAGGTACAGGTTCTTTTAAATTAATCCACGACGTTGATCACGATAAGGATTTTTGCTCGAGGAAGGCACACAGAATTCTGGTAATCGATTTGCCGGAAAGTAGCTTAATCCCTCGAACAACGAGTAGATGGGTCGATTACGATCTAAGCTTATGTAAGTATAAGGGTAGATTTAACGGGGAACGATTGAGATATAATCCGCCAAAATTGCAATCATATTTTTCATGTCTAGAATACACAAAGCTTCAAAGCTCAAAATTGCAATGTTCCAAAAATATTTAATTTGTCAAATCTAATTTTCTGTGACAGCCTCTCGTGTTCGAATGATCAATGAATTTTTACAATGCATTTTGCGGCGAAAGCTTTTACTAACTCGATTTTAAATAACCTCGCTGAATATTTGAAAGTATTATCCAATAAAAAGAAGTTAAAGTCCTAAAACGTCGGCGCACATTTTGCGCCGTTTTTCATCGGTGAATATCGTGATCCTGCCAACTTGAAATCGTACATTCAGCGTAATTAATTCCATCGTCTCTCGCTTAATTAAAATTCCAGCGGATTCGTAAAACTGACGATGTCCCACTGTTTTAATCCCGAAAAATATATCGGCCGCCGTTCGCGTTTTATTAACGAGCAAATGTAATTTTATTATTCATAATCCCAATTAACTCGTCGAATTAAAAGATACACGAACGAAAGAACTTTTACGTTAATATTAATCCTGCAACGGGATTTGTCGAAATTCTGTTTCGCGAATTTTTTCTGTAAAGGGCTTTCTCGTACCTTACAAACGTTAGATCCTCTTCGTTTTCCAGCGATTACTGCGCAGCTCTATTTAATTCATGCAATTATTTTGTTTATTCGAAGAATAACAGAACGATTTGATACTCCAGTCGGAGATGGACACCGTGTTTCGCGAATGCAGAAAAATAACTGCTTGCAATTTGCATAGTGCTGTCAGATAACGATGACCCAGACGATTGATTTCTCGTGGTTGTTTTGCATCTATCGCGAGAAATATAGCAGTTGTCAAAGGAAGAGGAGGAGGCTTTCCAATTATGAATGAAATTTACAGATGGTTTGCTGCAAAAGCTCCGCGATTGATCTACCTACGATAGCCGTATGAAACGGAATATTTGTTTGTACGTTCCCGAATATCTACCTATCGTTTGATCAATTCGGATCGAATTTTATGGTTACTCTTTACGATCCTGTGGAAAATCTAGGCCACGAAATTTCCTGAACCTTTCCGGAATTTCCTCTCTTTGACTCTTTGTGTTCAAATTGATTGACCGGACGTTCAAATTTCCGATATAATTCAGAAGTTCCTCTTTAAAGTCGGAGATCAAAGCTATTCAATTTAATTTTGCAATGCGTACACTTAAAAATGGATATCTTCTTTTTGCACATCTTTAATAACGTCTTACTGTTTTGATTTCGATGAAGAGCTTCAGGCTCTCCGTTTGCAGGAGGCTTTCGAAAGTTGACGCAGAAAAATCTTCGTAAAATATTGAACCGTAATTCCGTCGAAGCTAAATCTACAGAGATTGTTTGCCTTCAGCTTATTTGTGGAATAATTACGAGTACAAATAAAACGTTCCTCGCATCGCGACTTTCGTGTCTTTAGCCCAAAATAAAATTTCCGTTTTCTGCAACTGAGATCGTTCGCGACAAAAATATTGTTGTTAGCACGTTTCATCGAGCGGTAAAAAAGTTTAATCGTCGCTCGTTGCGAATTGGCGAGTCAGGGGTTAATTAGTTTCTTTATCGCGACAAAAACATCGTTGTCTTTTTCTTCCTTAATTGGATCGTTTTTTTTTTAATCGAAAACAGAGGTCTTCAATTTTATACATAGAATAAAAAGTGATTAAATAGAAGTTATTTTCTTTGAAACGAAGATGTAATTGCAGTAGTAATTATCGTTCGGTTAGTTTTTAGTCACAAAAGCTACGAATATATTTTCGCATTTATCAAGTAATGGATTTATGGAGCGAACGAATAATCGCCGTGCACAATCTTTCGCGACACACTTTCTCGCTCGAATTCCTGGAAAAAAAAATTGGTTAATGCGTTTCGTGGTAGCTGAAAGAGATACAAACGCGTGATACTTAGCTACGATATCTCAGCGGGTCATATTCGTGCGACAGAGAAAAGTACTTAACGACATAAGAGCAAAATTCCTTGCGCGATTTCTGTTTTTTTTTTTATTATCACTTTCGTCACTGAATTCTCGACCTTCAAAAGTCGTGGAGGATCTCTCTTTGCAACGACCAATTCAATTATAAGCGCACGAGAGCGTGATTAAAAAGGTGCACATTTACCGAAAAAGAAGCATACATGTTTTACTTTGACGCGCACGTATCTGCTTAAAATTGTACGTGTTGGCGAATCGTGCCAGTTTCGTGTCAGCACCTCTAAAACATTCGTACATATATGTATAATATCGCGGCAAATGCAGCGCAATCCAGCAATAGGATCCATTGTTCCGCCGGCACAATAGGGCCATTTCGAAGCCAATCAAGCCTTCTGAAGAACAATTAGTACTTTTGCGGCACAACAAGTCGTCTAATTTGTAAGTTGCTGTACTTGCCACGAGACAATCGACGTGTCGCGAATCGATTACCATCAACGACCTAATCTCGACTCTCTTTCATCCGGCAAGTGCAGCTACTTCCGATTACGTGATCAGACGTTCACGCTCGCGGGTATTTCGTATGCTTTTGTTATCTGATGTGGCTAAGTTGTCCGCGATCGATGCCATTTTAATTTTATCGCGGGAATGGCGATATATCGCGAGGCGGATACAAGGCGTAGGAGATAATTAGCTTTGGAATTTAACGGAATAATGGAAAATGTGTGGAGAGGGGAAATAGAGGGGTCAGTTTCGAATAAAGAGTCAGCTGGTGTAAATAACATTTAATGTCTGTATATTTTGCACTTTCGACTCACTTACAATTGATTGATTCTTAGTCGGTCGTGCGTAGTTGTTTCTACACGCACGAGCCACTCGCGATCGAGCAACGAGATCGTACAACGATTTCAAACAGTTATCTCTTTTCTAAAATAGTGAATTTCTGTAAATTAATGTTCAAAGATCTTTCGGTAGCTACGATTTATTCACTCGACATATAATTCTACGAAAGGATTTCTCGTTGCTTCCGAAGGCAAGTGGTTTCCATTATTCTCTCTCTCTCTCTCTCGCTCTCTCTATTTTTCTCTCATTCTCTCATTCTCTCTTTCTTTCCCTTTCACTCTGATTCTTCCTTTTTCGCAGGGAGCTCCTCGGCTCTATTTCCTTAGGGGTTCTCAACGAGATCGTACAACAACAATTAACACGTTGTTTCGTCCTTTCGCCGTTTGCTCGCCTCGAACACTCGATATTAAATTCTTGCTCGAATTCCATCGTCGTGTCGTCGAGAGCTCGCAAACGATCAAAGGCGAATCGACGGCATAATTAATGCCGACAATAATAATAATAATAGTAATAATTAATAATGAGCGTAGGCGTAAAACGGCTTATAACGTGTTGCAACGATTTTACAATTCCGAACGGCCAATTTTCGGCCGTTTCTCGCTCTTCTGTACAATAGGAATTATACATAGAAGACGGAAGATAAAGCTTGATTCGCTGATAGTAGAAGAAAGGAGGCAGCCAGGATCGATACTTTCGCATAATGGGATATAACGTTGCTTCTTCGTGCTCGCTGAATCCACCCGTTTCGAGGGCTATCTCTTAGACGGTTCTTGAAAAAGATTCTCTCCGGGAGAGATACATCTTAAGGAGAATCATCGTGCGGCTTATAGAAACGACTTTGTTTGGGGTGAAACAGCGGAGAATAAAAGTGAAAAACTTTCTCGTCGTTGCCGGAAAGAAACGATTATTCGTCTAAATATCGGGACAGGGCTATTTGTAACAATTTCGATTACACGTCGACTATTTTTAACCTAAACGACGGAATTCAATTATAAACAACAGCAGCACGCTACAGAACAGTGACATAGGTTACTATAGTAAACCGTACTTGTACGTTACTACAGTAGTCCATGCGATACTACAGTGATACAGGTTACTATAATATACTGTAGTTACTCCATATTACTATAGTAGTTTGCGCGTTACCAATAGCAACCTTTACAAATAGTAACCATTCTATCATAATTTATACTAGACGAGTCTACGCGTTACTATAGTAATATAGATCGTTATGGTTAACGTGCTCTTATACCGTAGTAATATCGTACTATAATAATCGTTTTACCGTGAGCAATCATTCTATGTTACTAGGATAGTTAATGTACTACTCTACTGTAGTAATACAGATTATCATAGTAGTTGCGCTATTAAGATACTCTATATTACTATAGCAGCGTATACATTGTTATACTACAGTATAGTAGTTACCATACACTACCATACTACGCAGTATAAGTGATTGTAGTAGTCATCCTACTATGGTAGTCCCTTCACGTTTAATATAAATACTCCCATTACCAGTTAATACGCTACTATACTACAGCAGTACAGCGCTATACCGCTATGTCATAGTAGCCTCTACGTTTCTATACTACAGAGGGTGTGTCACTATAGCATTCTGCTACAGTAGCTATTTTACGGTAGCTGTTCTGCCATCAAGCGTACTGCTGTATTACAATTAACCAGAAAATGATAAAACAGTCAGTTGGTCAGAAATATTACGGATTAAAATAAAGGAAATTCTTTTCCGGAGGTATATCGTCGATCGCACAGTTATACGATAAGTATCGACCTTGCTGCCATGACGAGGCTGTCACTAGGTTAGTCAAACAGTGTCTCTCGATTCGGCTGATATAGAATCGGGCGAACGTAAACGTAATCGCATTTCGTTGTACCGTGAGAATGTCTCGGTTAATGGAGCTTTCCGTGTGACGGATGGAAACGTTACAACAGAATTCTGGAATTTGATCGAAGGGTAGCTGGCACGGGGAGGGGAACGAACAAAAACTAGGAGCAGCGAGGAGCAGAGTGATCGTCCGAACAGATTTAACCCATTTATATCGAGAAATGAAATATTTCTTGTCCAACCTGCGTCACGAAATAAAAACTGTTCTACGTATGTTATTCGTAGGATAATCTATTGAAGAGTACGTTCGTGTATAACGCGTAAATAACATAGCGTAAGGATTTGTGCCAACGTAAATGGCCGTTCAAAGTTTCGCGTTAGTTCGTGGAATCTGTGAAAATAGATTGCTCTCACTGGGAATAATCGAGGTAAAAGAAAATGTACGCCATATTTCATTTATCGATGCAAATGGGTCAATAACGAGCCGAAGCAGCATCCTGATAAATTGATTGGATTGGTTGAAGTAGACGAGAGACTAGAAAAACTGGATAAAAGGACGACGAAGATAGAGCGAAAAGAACAGCTGGATATCCGTGAAGCATCGAGCTCACGGATGCTATTCCCACTTTTTGTTCGTTGATTAACACGTTCGCTGTTATAGAGATCATTTAGTAATCGCCACAAAAATGGAGGGACTATAGCTGCTTCTCTTTCACTTGCGAGCATTTAGATAAACTATGTTCAAATAACAAATCTGTTACCTTTTGGAATAATTGTATGTATTACTAACAATGTGCTTCGTTATTCTACTTTTCTTCGAAGAAATAAAATTATAGAAAATAGAATGGCGGTCAACGTGTTAATCTGAACATTCTTATCTTGTCATTCGCCGTTGCTTTGAACTTCTCGGTTTATCTTCGCTATGGCTTAAGATCTATCGGAATTCTTACGCGCTAATGGGACCATGGTGTCCACCGTGGATCTTAGCAATCGATCGAACAGCGAGAATATTCGAGGCCTCTGAACGACCTGCGAGGAAACGGTCAACAAAACGACGAATTCTCGTGTCGTCGACGAGAAACGAGGAAAAGTTTCAACTTTTTAATAATAATTAGTATTGTAATTCCTAAATTTTGCTGTGTGGACTAATAAAAGATACGTTATGTTTTGTTGCGTCTAAGTTGCACCCTTGTTTTAAAAAGCGACGTACACATACGTCCTCGGATAATCGTTCATTAAAGCTTAACAAAGAGTAATAAAAAAGCTATTTATAAAATTTAACGTTTCGATTTCCTGTTATCGAGTAAGGAGTTAGGAATTTGAGGATTGAAAGTGGACAAGATTTCGAAAGGTTTTCCTACGAACTTCTGGTCGACGACACGCGTAACTTCACTAAAATCAGCAACCATCATCATCTATTTACAGTAGAACTATTTATATATGTATATATTATGTATATATATACTCTACAGTCATTCTAATCATCAGACAGACGTTCCTGACGGCAAAGGAGGAAGAAGGTTTTACAATTCTCTCGTTATAACGTTCGAGATATTAAGGTATCTATCATTAAAACGTTAGGCAATAACGCAACAATACATATACATATATATATGTACACGTGTGTATTACATGTCTACTGGCGAGCGAGTTTACTTGTGTATGTTTCTCTTACGATACAAAACCCGGATTTCAATGTGCATCGTTCGTCTCTTTCGTCGTGCGAGTGGCGCCTTCAAAAGGCCATCCACCTCCTTCCCGAACAAACCTCCCTTTTTTATTCTTTCCCTCTTTTCTATCTACTTTACAAAGTTTCGCTATATCTTACAGTGTAACTTTAGTTCACGAAATGTTTCCAGAAAACGCAACGACCACCCCCGTCGCCCGGCCGCCCTTCTCGCATTATTTATCGTGTCACGAGAAGGGGAACCGAGCTGAAACGTTGTTTTCTGTCGGTGGGCGGGGGCGGGACACGCGAGATTATCGTTCCCGACTAACGCGAGACGTCGAAATGGTCCTATAGAGTTTAGCTCTGTCTACGAGTGTCGTGTAAGTCGTTAGAGCTGTGATTCGAGACAAAGATTCAACGATAGATCAACGAGTAAAGAGTAGGAGTGCGCAACTAGCGTCGTGTCAAGCGGTTAACGGTACATATTCGGACAATAATCCACCACCGGAGTATTGGCATACCTCTTTGATAGGGAACGCGTGGTTTTTTCTAGCCGAGGGGGCGTGGATTACGTCCGCGAAGGCGTGGTTTGTGCCTCTAAGGGCGTAGACCACGCGCATGGAGGTGGAGATTATCCCCACTTTCGTTCGCGAAGGCGTAACCCACCCGTCTGGAGCGCGAACTGTCCCTACAAAGGCGTGGTATACGCTTGCGAAGGCGTGATCTACCAGTGAAGAGGTGTGGCATACGCCCTCGGAGGCGTGGTTTAAGCGTCCGTATAGAAAACGCGAAATATTACTTCTCTAAATGGTAAATCGTATACCTGCAGTACCGCTTGGAGAAATAATACCGCGGATGTTCAGCTGAGGCAACTAGTTGCGCAGACCCGGAATAAAGCATGTATATAGGTATAGATAGAAGTACATCGTTACATTTGACGCGTTATAGTTCGAGATAGAGAGACAAAGTGTATATACGTGAAGGGATTGTTGGAAAAATCGAATAGAAACCTCGATAAGTTTGATTAGGTTATATTTACAGAGAAACATGGCCAACCCCCCTAGATGGATCTTGAAGACGACAATTTAGAAGAGTGATTTATCAGACCAGCTGGTAAAAGGAATGTTTCACGTTGCCCGTCTTCCTTAAAACTGTGATCGGTTTAAGTGTCTAAATGCTGATTATCTTTGGTCCAGATCGAAGGTTCTCCGTAGAACGTTGGTCGTTTCGCGTACAAAGTTGACTAATCAACGGACGAAAGTCGAAACTATAGAGAACAAACGTTTTGCATTGATAAGATGATTCTTCGTTTCTGTTTTGTTCTTTTTTCTCTGCTAATTGGTTATCAACTATATGACTCTGTCGTTCGTCGACTGGTCCTTACTGTGCGTATAACCGTGATGCAGATACTTTTGCGTAATATCGAACTTATTTAAACTCTTGTACACGAGAGCAGGTGCTACCTCAACGCGTTCGAGACCGAAGACGCACCCTGTGCGTCCGTTAATTCAACGAAACCGAAGTTGGGACAAGAAACTAGAAGTCTAAGCGTTATGATCGCTATTGGTAATACATTTCACTGTTCCTAGATCGTTTTATAGCAAGATTTCGGTCTCGAGCAGGTTAAAGACGAACACATGGATCTTCTCCGTTTTGAAAATTACGGTGAAAGATAATACTTAAGGTAATTAAGTTAATCGGTAATAACAATGGATATTAAGTCAGACTATCAATTTTTTACGAGTCGAATAATAATACACGATTGATATTTAGTTGATTGTTCTTAAGAATCAACCGAACACTATTTGAACGACGTCACTTAAAGATACGAGTACTAAATCGCGAATAAATATTTTATCGTAAGAACGTAATAATTGGTCGGCAATAGATCAAAACGATGACAGGGACGGATATGTTCCACCCTTCGAATAATCTCGTTCCTTGAATTCCTTTGGAATAGCCCCGCCCCTCGGATTCGCCACTCCCACCCGATCCGCCCCTGAACGACGATCCTATTTTTTCAAGTCTTTTTCACGAAAGTTTCGTCACTTTCGAAGAATCTGCATCTATCGTACATGATCGTACGATTGGTTCTGTTTCTAATTACCAATTAAATCCTACGACTTTATACATAACCTACAAATGCCAATTCTAAACTAAAACTGTCTCTCTGTTTTCCCTAATTCTCTGAATCTAGTCAATTAATTACTTTTTTATCCCGATCGTTAGCGTATATAGAAAATACAAAAAACGTAGAAATACAATTGGTATCCGACTACTCGATTTAATCAACCTACGCGAACATACTTGCGATACGTTTCTGATTGCTCTAATTCGTATAAATTTGGCGGGAGTTTAATCGATCATTTCGATTGACTGAAAGGCATTCCATCGAAGTTAACCCCTCGAACGCAAATAATTCGAACGTCACGTTTGGGAATGATTTCCTGCTAATTTGGGTAAACAAATTGCAGACCGATTTTGCAATTCGCCCGTTTATTATTAGATGGGATTAAACGCGACCGATCTGGGTCACTGACGGCGCGAACTACATTTCATTTTCCTGCGGATATTTTATTCTTTACCGGAAAAAGTTTTTTTTTTATTATCGGTGAACTTAAAACGACATAAACGACCCAGTTTACTTACGCGCGGTTCAAAAATGAAAAAAGGATTCCGAAGTTAGCTATTAATTTCGAGGGAATGTGAAAACCGTTAATTGCCCTCCAATACCTTTTTTAATTTTAACAGCGTTGACTGCAAGTAGAATTTAATCGATTGATTAAAAGTTGAAGGGAGAAGATTTTAAAGGTTGTTAGCGATTATAATTTTGAATAACTAGCAGTGTCTGAGATAACTAAAGACTTCGACGTGTCTGACCGCGTACGTCCATTTCCACTGTGAGGGTCAACCAGACGGACGTGTATCTTATTGGACATGATTGTTTCCATTTTGTCAGTCGGTGTTAAGAAAATTCAGTGAATCTTTTAACACAATGCGTGTCCGATTATTGATAAGGGACGGGGTTGGCCACGTGGAACGATATCCTTACATTCGAACGAAAGGGACGTTCGTTAACCCTTCCACGAGCTTAACATTTTGTTTCAATTTAACAACGAACGATTATCGATACTTTTTAACGATAAAAATATACCTACGTTATTATAAATGCAGTGTAAATAGAGAGAAGAGATTATTCAGCGTTCGAACGAAACGGGGCTTGAAAGGGTTAAAGAGCATCTCTCGTCGGTTTAATTCTACCTTAATTAACGATAAGCGAATTCGACCGATTAAATGGAAGCCTCGAGTGCCAGAAAGTATCACAATTTTCATTACTTTCAATACCACGAGATTTCGTTTCGCGATCGATCGCGAAACACACATTTGCTAATTGATTTCTCTAATCAACTCTTAATCGGCTATTGAACAGTTAGAGTAGCGAAAAGTGAACAGGTTAGTGCCAAAATAGTTTCGGTTGTTGTTTCAAACTCGTGATGCTTATTTTCAAGCAAACTTTTATCCGACTATGTGCTATCTGTTCTAATTAATCATTCAGTCGAACGACCAGTCAACTCTTTAGTCGACGTTTTTGTCAAACGATTAACCTATTTAACGATTAAAAACAACAAATCGGCACTTCGAACAGTCCGTTTAATCCGTCATGCCCTAATTCTATTATGACCAGTGAACAGTATTTATCCGCGAACTGTCATGAGAACACGCGAATCCTTCGGAAAGAAAAGTCTCTCGTAAAAAGGCGAACCGCGAAAAGCCTAGTCCACACCCGATTCGCGATATTTATCAAACAAGCATTTGCTCGAACTAACAGGACAACAGAAACATTTGCTGGAATATGGGTGCGTCCGTTTTAAAAACCTATGGTTTCCGATAAAAAATGAAAACCAGATCGTTTAACTCTACGGCGAAGGCACCAAAGTACCGGTGTGGATTAGCTTGAATTTTTGACCGGGAACAAAACACGTCCGCTATCGTAACGAACGATTTACAAGGAGAAGATAAAAGGAAACGAAAAAGATCCGGATGAAAAGACAAAATGAAAGGAATAGTGGCTTTTAAAACGACTTTTCCGCGAATAAAACGAACGCGATTCGATTCGTGGCATAAACATGCAGCGGTTGAATTGGTTTTGTTGCAGGTCCGCTTGATAGCATAGAATTGAAAGGACTTGCTCGTTGGATGAAGAGTAATTGGAATAAATGCACGAAGAAGAGGGATCGCCCGTTTCCATAAATTCTCGTCGATAATGCTCGCTGGACGATTCGATCTGCGAGGTACGAGTAGCATTTTTGATTCATAATGTTTGATCAAGGCTTTTCTTTCAAGTTTTATTCTCCTTTTTAACTTTCTGTTCTTTCGTACGAAATCGCGAACGATTCAACGGGTCGTAATTGTACTGCCGGTCTTTACCGAAGATAATCGAAATATATGGCAAGGGTCTCTAAACGGTGACTCACAGTGATAAAAACATTTCGAAACGGAAGACCGTTATCTGTAAAAGTAATATCTACGAAAATAGTACAAATATGCTAGAATAAGGTTCTGTCGTCTAAGAGTTAATATTAATTGTACGAAGATTGTGGATGTTTATGCATTCGCGATAAATCAAGAATGAATCATGTAATTTACGAGACTGTGAACCTATAAATTTTCGCACGCGCCGATAATCCAGTCTGATTGTACGATTCTTGGAGCAATGAAATTTCTTTTGCATCCAGCAGTACAATTTCGAACTAGTTCGCAAGAATCGGTATGTCTGGAACGAGAAAAGCGACGTGACACGACGGAGGTGTCGTTCCTCGAACGAGAGAAAGATAAGAACACGATAACGATTCCATTAGCGAAGATAGTCGAGTCAAAGGTTAAAAGCATCGACGTTTAGTGGCTGTTAGCAAGCGGTGTACGAGTTTCTAGATCAGGTTTGCTCGGTTTGTTGGTACAGCGACGAAAAAACAAATATCATAACTTCCAAAATTTCACGTATAATCTCTAGAAACGTTACAGAATTTTTGTAGATACAGCGACTATCTAAATATTTTATCTGGAAAAGAATTCTTGGGGTCAACCGAAAAGCGAGTTGCCGATCGCTCAATGTCCACTATTGCCGAACACGTGCTTCGCCAGCGTTTGCGAAGTTTGAAAAGATCTTGCGACTTCTATATTACCGACTAAGCAAACCTGTCCAACGTTTAGTCATGATCGTTGCTCCGAAAGCAAATCGAAAGATGAATCAGGTACTCGGTAGCAGAACGTATTTCGAGTGGAAAGCTCGATCGAAAGAGAAAACGACGACCTTTTTGCTCGTCGCGTCGCCTTTCGCCACGGATTCGCGATTCACTCGTTTGTCGATTTAAGATCGATCGCCCAGCGATCGAACAACGAAAATTCGGTTACGTTTCGGATCCCATTTACGGTTTATCACTTTAACGCTTTGCTATTGAGTGTCGTCTATACACGTCCTACTAAATATGTATATAATATATTTATACATACGTGTTTGTATATATATATATTTAATCTCTTTTGAACGATTTTTTTTATTAAAATATCTATGTTGTATGTATACATACATACACTATATTCTTTTTTTTATTTCTTTATACATACATGTACGGTAGAATTTCCAGTATCCGAATGTTTGTCGAATAGGTAGAGAGATTGTCTTCGTAGTTTATGACAAATTTGCACGTTTCGAGGCTTAAGATTGATTGCCTTCGTAGTTGGAAAATGGCGCATATAGCGTTTGATTGCACAAGTGATACAGCGGAGTTTACTGCGATGAACATAACCTAGTTTACTACAGTAGACTCTCGTTATATCGCCGTTTCGAGTCCTCCTCTGCAAGGACTTAATTACTCTCCCCTTTCCTCGCCACCGTAATTAACGATAATCTGAATTTCCATAACGACAGTCTACTGTAATTACTAAACGAACCAACGTAAAAATTTAGATCCAGAAAATATAAATCATGGAGAGTTTATTGAAATTTCTTCGCGTTTATTAATTCGGATAATGGAGTTCCTAACCGTATCTGTGATCTTTGGCTGGCATCGCGACAACGTCGTTCATCGACGATGATTCTTATCGTGTTTTTCAGACCCCACCAGATTTCTCTCTGCTAGTATCAATTTTTCAAATCCATCGAAATTCCTATCGTAAGATTCACTGAAAAATTCCCCCTCGGGATCTAACGGCATGAAGCATCACTTCATTTTTGAATTAGTTACAACCTTTGCAGCATCGATTAAATCTTTGTTTTTAATCAACTAATTACAGCCACTTGGGCTGTTCTCTCTCGTAACATTTCGCTGAAATCGATCGAACAGCGTTGTTCTCACTGAGAACGTTTAATAAGTTACCGTGATTAGCGTTCGATAATATGATAATGTTTTAACGAACTTCGAACGCGATTTACAAACAGAAAGGAAAATTAAAAAGTTAGCTCGGTAATTGTTCCTATCGCGTCGAATTTAATTAACCGTTCGTTCCAGCAGGCTACCAGCGCGTTTCGAATCGAACAGTATGAAACTGTTTTATCGACCCTCTACAGGGTCATTCATACCACGGAGACGAACTTCTATCTGTCAATAATACAACACGTATTTTAAGCGTCTCGCATGCACAATTTATTTTCACGATTTAATTTCAAACTTTGATCCGATACTGGAACTCGCAAATTATTTTGTAAAAGTAAAAAAAATTTCCGGTTTTTTTAATTGTTTAAGGAAACGGTTGCAATAATTCGTCACAGTCGTATGAATCATCCTGTACATCGTTTGTCTAAAACCGACCAGGGCAACTCATCGAGTCCGTGGGTCTAAGAGTGCCCAGGTCCGAATTGAGATCTTGCTCGACCTATTCTACTTAATTTTACTTGACGCGAGCGAGCCTCGATCAAAGGCAGTGAGTACCAACGAGAACATCGACGTTCGAGCAATCGGTTTGATTACGTTCAATCGTGCCTACCTACTTATCCTTAACAAATAACAAACGCGTTTCACCGCGTCGGATAACGAATCCGATCGATTTCGCGGCCAGCGGGCTTATTATCGAGATCGCGCGATATCTTGGCTCGTCCATCGAAACGTATGCAAATGGTGGATCCTTTGGAGGCTTAAGTAGATCGATAAGTACGTCGTGTACCTCTGGGGGAAACGTTTGTTCGAAAGTAATTTCTGCAACTTCTGAAGGGTTCTTCCAGTTCCCGAACGGTTTATCCTTTGAAGAGAGTTTCTTCCTCTTCGGGAGAGAAACGAAAGATTCTACGAGAAATTCGCGCTTCCACTGTACATTGCCTCGCTGTTAGCCGCGTACATCGTCGATTTATGCATCTATAATAGTATTTTTCTTCGAAGGTTGCGGATCGACGTCTTTGCGATGCAAATCGTTTCGATCTCGCGACCTCTTTCGATGTACACCCGATTCCCTGATTCACGTCAACTACGCTTCCTACCACGTAAATCGGATATGGGTAGTACAAAAAGAAAAACATCGCAGAAGCCTGTGTTTTGGCGAAATTTCTCTGACTACGTGAATCCAGGAATAGGTGTACTGTTTCTGTAGGTGACAAGGTGTCCACCTTTTTAAATGGCAATTCCTCGTTTCAACACATCCTCGTTATTCTTTTGAGTCACGTTTACGTTCCTACGGTAATTTGTAACGCTAGTATATAACTAGCCAGGATGGTTACAAGTTACTGCGTTAACGAAAACGTAGCTTTAAGGTCGTGTAGATGTTCGCAGTGTTGCTAAGCGAAAGTGGAGGCAGAAGGCTTGCTTTTAGGAATTTTAGTTATCGAATCTTCAACTGGTTGTTACGAAATGTAAAAAGAACGTGGATCAATAATTGATATATGGATAACGAAACAGAGCTGGGACCTACGCGTACGCAGTAGGACCCACGCCGCAACTGAAGCGCGTGGGAGGAATCCTCTACTTATACCCTTCGAGATTCCGCCCGCGCATGCGCACATCTCACTTTCGCTTCGACCTGTACAATGCGATTTTGCCTCCCTAATTGATTTTATTCGTTTTTCCTTCTCTTCTCTAAGAATTCAGAAACGAATCGAATGCTGAATTCTTAAAACGAGATTATATCACTTAAAAAAGCAATACTGCATTGGTATCGAGGAGTGCTGAAAGGTGTATCGTACGATAATATACGTTTATATAAAATTAGCGACATCGTTCTCTGGCGAAGAAGGAATGGCAATACAATTCGCTATTAAAATACCATAGAAACCTGTGTTCCTTAAACGGTTTAATAAATACGCTATTTAGTACGTGTATGTGTATATGTCTGTGTTATGTATGCATATGTGCATATACAGAGGCCGGCGGCAATCGTCTCCCGATCGCAAGCCGGGCGATTCTTCGTTGAAAAAATAAAACGCGAGGATAGTTCCACTTGTCAAGATTATTGGAGAGAAGGGCTCTTTATTTAAACTTAACGCTTTCGGTCTTAGGATAACAAGCGCAGTGTAATATGTGATTGGGTCCCACAAGGTAAGACCCATATTAAAACGATACGACTCATAGATATTTTTTTCTATATTTTCGTGCGAAGAATCACCCTTTTCGCGACCGAATCACGATTACGACTGCACTCTGTATAATATACTCTTTTCGATAACAATTGTGAACATACGAGCCAAGGCTCGAGACTAGAAACGGGTTTCCCTTTTACCTACGTCCTTTCGTTATGTTTCATCTGTTTTTAAACATTAATTTTAAGGCAAACTCGCTAACTCGTTCATCCTCTCTATCTCTCTGTCATCTCTCATGCTTGTTTTTAAATTTCGATTAAATCGCTCGATTTCAGGCATACCCATGCTCTCTCTTTCTTTCTCTCCCTCTCTCTCTCTCAGGTACATACGCACACGCAGGCATTCGACAATCATCACGCGATCACGTTCGTTGTTAATCGTCCTCAGGCGGGAGGGTGAAAGCTACCAGTAGGTGATCCGGCACAGAGTTCAGAGAGTTTGTTCGCCAGCGAAATCGCACCCCTTCGATTCCACCCTTCCTCTTTTTTGTCCTGAAAGGAGAAACGATAAATCGGTTAGATAAAAAAAGTACCGTGATCCGGGTCGTTCACTCCTCCTCTTCGTTCCTTCATTGGCTGTCGGAGAACTGGTGGCTGAGGGTTTTTCGACTGAAAGAAACGTACTCGGAGTTTATGGGCGTCGCTGTACTCCGGTTTTAGTTATGAGTCATGATTTAAGTTTCCTTGAACAGCAGATTTCTAAAATTCTAAAATTGTCAAAACTTTTAAGGATTTTAAGACCGTTAAAAGTTTTAAGGATTTTATGGCCGTCGAGAGTTCTAAAGATTTCGAAACTTTAGAGACTCCGGTTTTTAAATTTTCTGTCCAAAACGGAGCTTCGTCCGTGGCACGGAAAGCGTTAATAAACGAAAGTTAATACTTGCCGAGAGAACGTTTCGTTGAGCATACGCCTTGGCGGACGTAAGAGTTTAAGATAGACGCAGCAGGTAGGCCGACGTGTGGCGTCGAACGGGCTCCTTAGAAGCCCTCGATAACGCCGTAGGCCTCGAGGGTCGACATTACGAGGTAGAACACCCATAGGAAAAAAAGGATCGCGGATGTGATGAGCTTCGGTACGAAAGGGCCGCCGAGTTCGCCGCCAATGCTCTTTGTCCGCCTCAGCAGCAAAACCAGGATCACCAGACACGCTTCCGTGCAGAATAACGTCACGGAAAAAGCCAAGCTATTGCAAAAATAAAGCCATTTCATTTCTTATTACCTTCGGTCGCCTTCGTTTATCCCCCGTTATACAAAATACGCAGACATCGTTAGAATAAATTTACGCACGAAAACGGAGGGTTCCAAATTAGACCCTCCCTAGGTTTCCCTTAAATTCCTAGACCAGATTTCACTTCGCTTTTTCTTCCTGATCTTTCAAAAAAAAAGTTGATGCAGTAATCGAGCCCCGCACGATTATTTAATTTCGAACGAAATCGATCGATAGCGGTAAAGAAAATGATCGAGAACATTACGGCGCCATCTGCGGCCAATATTATGCAGCTATGGTCTTCGCGCAGGCGCAGCCGAAAGTAATTTGAATGAAAGATCAATCACGTTGGTTAATGGATCTGGCGGTCGTTTATTCAAAGTAACTAACCGCTTCCAGTTCAATCTCGGAAGTATTTGAAGCAACGCGATGCAAGCGTTTAGAGATACGTATTAACGAATTCTAGTCTCCACAAAGACCGGGTTAAGATTATACGCGAGCGTTTGCCGTGCCGGCGAAATTTATTCAAATTCAAATTCAAAGGTGAATCCGCTATCGGCAGCGCAGCTGGCACCGAAGAAAATTGAACAGGAACGCATCCATGGCGTCTTGCATAGGAAATACCTGATTACCGGTAAATAACGACCCGCATACCAATCGAAATGTACATTCTACATCGCGTAAATATTTATTAACAAGCTGTCGCTTCTCGAATACCACCGAATTGATTTTATTTGCGGAAACAACATTAAAAATTATGGCCAAATATCGTAAACGTAAATGTTTTAAATTTATAAGTCCCTTTTTTCCATGATTATGCTTGTCACATGTATTCTATTTAGAGGGGTTGATCGCCCGAATTCAATCAACAAATCATGACTACTCATATTAAAGCCGATCGCTCGACGTGAAAAATTATACGATGCATCGTCGGCGACATCTCGCCAGTTTTATGGGTCAACGATCGTCGCAGTAACGAATACGTATTGTTATCGATCGCCAGATATAAATCGGGACACTAGACGTTTGAAAAATATAAAAATTTATGCCTGATCGGCTGGGCACAGAGCTAGCCGTCGTTCGCCTCTCGATATTTGACGTCTCGGAAATATCGGTATCGCGCATTACGTTCCGTACAATATTCCTGCCGATACGTCACGGATAACAGTTTTCTAGAACGGTGCACTGTCACCGTTGCTGGTCACGTTTCGGTACATAAATCGACGAGTGGCGTCGGTTAAGTTTCCGATGCGATGGCTACTGAACTTTCGAGAAAGTATTTCCGATTAGAAAGATCATAAATGAAACACGGCTTCAACTTTATATCCTACTTTATCCTCCTTGCCGTAGTCCGTTAGAGGAACGTTAAAAAATATTTAGGGAAAACCTAGGAAGAAGTTAGCGTAACTCGGAACGCCCCGATTCCACCCACGGTCAAATAAATCGCGAGGGTTATCTCAAGAAGTACCTCGTCTGAGTCTGTAAATTAAATAAATTAAAAGTAGCACTGTTTTATGAAAAATCTATTAACCAAAAAGGAACGTGATATAAGTAAAATTTTTTCAAGGATTGTAAGAACGTACCAGACCGAAATTAAGAGTAGAAACAAATGTCGACTCTGTTTATTCAAGTACAAGGAAGTTCTCGTAAAGAAGTTTGCTCGCATTAAGTTCATCGCGAACGACTTAGAAGGATCGAACCCGAACAACTTTATCTCTTTATCCTCGAACGGGGTATAAGAGTTCTCGAAAGTTATGATTAAATTCAGGGGATACATGGCGTTTCAAAATACGTGCTATCCGAATATGAATTGATTAAACCAAGTTTGTGTAAAATTTGCATCTTCTTTCGAACCATCTGTGTAACCGGGGTGTTCAAGAGTAAGGATCGAATCGACAAAGTTTTGATTAAATTTAGGTAAGGAGATTAATCGCGTTGCCTTCGAACATTCGTCAGATTTCAAAGGGCGATTTCAAACGGGACGTATCTTTTGAAACAGCTTCTAGAAGAAGGATATCGAAAAGTAAGGGGTGAATCGATACTGACTTGCCGGGTTCCACTAGAAAGAATTCACCGTGGCAGGCATGGTAAACGGCAGCGATGCTCCACGCGATGCCGATCCCCAGGAAGACGTTCACCGCGTTACTTCCGGTCACGTTCCCCACACTCGCGTCGGCGTACTTGTCCTGGCAGGCGGCCACCTTGCTCGCGAACGTGTCTGCAATAAAATCACATGCTCAGATTTTCCTCCCTCTTGCCTCGCGTCCTATCGCGTATGTTTTTTTATTTTCGTTGACCCTTGTTTCCAATTTTCCTGTCCGTTCCTCGATATCCCCAATTTGGGTTCGCGTTCGTCGAAAAACGATGGACGGTTCGCTTTCGAGCAACCACTCGTAATTTTGTCTCTTCCGCGCGCTCGTTGGACAACTTTGATGGAGACGCGGTGGAACGATGCGAACTCGATTATCGGGCAAATTTGCATATTTCGTGACTTGAAGGACCGCTACGAGAGTACCATCGCTCCTGGCCATGACTATAAAAATTCATGAAAATACCGTAGAATCTTGTTCGTGATCCTTTCACCCTTCTATGTCGCTCTCTATCTTTCGTTCGAAGCGGAATGCAGTTCCGGCGCGTCAAGCTCGACGGTTGTTGGTAAATTCGTAAAACATGCACGTTAGCGCGTTGTGCCGACTAGCACGTGAAAACAATGTACAAGAAAAAGAACGCTCTGTTCGTTTCAGTTAGATTAGGTGTTTACCTAACCTGACTGCGTTGTTTAGAACAGTTGTAACAGATCGCACCGGAACATGAAATGTAGGCAATGCACAAAACCAGCAACCTCCTGGTAGACTGATATATACAACATACAAATAATGCACAAGGACTGTGCCTTCTAGGTGAGGTTAGGCTAAATATACGGTCCCTTGGTAGAAGATTGCTGTGCAAGGTAAACAATACATCAGGCCAGCAGTTTCCCAGCAGCTAGAGTCGAGTTAGGTAGATAATTTAGCTGTATGTTACTATGCAGAAGTGGTAGGCAATATATAAGGATATCAGCCTTTTATCGGTAGGTTGGCATGCTTAATAAGCACATAATGCATCGAGTTAGCGTCCCACTAGTACGCGCAACGTATTCGTGACTATAATTTTCGCCACGAGCGGAGTTCGATTTTCCAAGACGAGCTATTAAATTTTTACGATTTTATCGATTTCAATATTCTCCGCGAACACGGGGCTAGAAATTAACAGGACATTACAGGTCGATCGCGTTTGTTCGTCCTGTAATTTGGTGGTTCCTGCTAATAGCGGTTAGTCGATTCGAATCAATTGCACGGCCGTCTCTCATCGCACGTTTGCAATTCGATATCGAGAAAATTTGTATAATTCGACTAACTATTGGCTTCCTCGGCTACGTGTCCCGTACTTTTACGAGCCCGAAGAAACTCGGCTGGCTAGGACGGTCTCATCAATATTTATGCGCTTTGGTACGTGTCTCCTTCGAGCCAAGAAGATCCGACGAAGCGTCGTTTCTCGTGGGCTCTTTGCAATCTTCAAATCAAGATATTCCTTTTATTGTCCCTGTTTGAAAGATATCGCGACGGGTTTGTTGGGTCCACGACTCTTCGTCGTGGCAAAACACTTCTGGAATGGAGTTACTTCCGCCCAATGCGGTATCTCTCGACAACTTCTCCGGACTGTCGCGACCAAATTCCGAATTGCTATAACCCGTACTCGACGAATAAACAACCTTTAAGTTTAATTATTTGCGAACAAAAAGTCTTCATCTTTGACGGATCATTCTATACTTCTATACATAGCAATCACGTTGTCTGTGCGAAACTTTCTAGCCAGTCTGATCTGGAAGTCGAATCTCGTATCTTCCGATAAAGTTATCGAAACATCGATACCTATCTCTTCGAGAGTAAACCTTTATGGTTTGATATCATATTCGCGGTCTTATGGCTGCGAACAGTTAACCCGCGTGTATCACGGTTATCGGTGTCTCCTAACTACAAACGTGCCCCAACCACTAGTATCCTAATTACAGGCTGTTCCGACCACGGCTGCATACTAAGTCCGATACGAATATTCCAATGCAGCAAAGTTTATGTAGCAATTTTCCTCGTACTTGGATACTTTCGCGTCGTTAATTCGAACGACCTACATTTCGAAATCTGTTACAAGTTTTTTGAGTAATTCCAATAAAATAAGTTCCGGTACATCAAAACCGGAAGCTCAAATATATCATAAAAGTCGAAGAAACCACAACTTCGACTTCGGCCTCAATCTCGAAGGATACTAAAAGCTACCATAGAAATATCCGGAATTTATAGCCGTTCCTGATCGAGGACACCATTAGCAAACGAACCTACCGAAACGAGGTTATCCAATTTTATACAGCCTGGAACATAGCGTTGATCGAACGTAATGATTCGCAAACTTGGACCAATTGTCTGCCTAGACGTTCCCGATTGGAACAGGAATAGAAGGGAACAAGGCTTTAGCATTTCCATTAAATCCAGACCTTGGCGAATCGTTAAGACGTTTCATACATATCCCAGCAGGTGAATTTATCTCCTCTATATTCTACAAGATTTAACTCGTATTTTTCTGTCCTCCTTCCTGTGGCCAAAATTCTTACAGTCGGTTTCGCGAGATGAATATTTCAACCGTATTTGGTTATTCGCTATATTTCATATGCTTTCTTTGGTGGGGAGACGCTCGTGGGACGTCGACAAACACACAGTTGGGATACGTTCGTAGTTAGGTTGAAACACACGTGGATTTGTTCACGAAGTTGGCGTAGTTAACAGTTAGTTTAATAAGTTTATACGCGATATATAAATATTCCGAGATGAACAATACGAGTCTCTTATAATTATTTTACTGTTAGGAGGTTACTTTGTGACGTTTTACGGTATCAAATCGTGACAGACAATTTATGTGTTTCGAAAACAGCGATTCAGTAGATTATTGTTCTACGCGACGTATTTTCTTGCCAAAACGATGAATGATTTGCGGGCGATAATTCTGGCTCGTCTATCGGCAGAGATATAGAGAAGGACGGGACGGCGGTACGGCCGCAGGCATTGTTCGAAGGTACAAAGGCTAGGCGTAATAAATTATCACCAGACTCTGCTCTACCGACCGCATATTACCTTATATAGTAACTCCTAAAACCCCGCTTGAATGCGGAACGAGCGAGCGAAGCTGGACCACGGCTGGGTGCTATTCGTTGATAAATTCACGTCAGTCGCGTTAATCGCACATGACGCGAGCTGTAATTTGCATTAGGTTTGCTTCCAACTTACTTCGTCTTTTTTCGAAAGTACACCGTGCTCGGTCGAGTGGTAAGCAGAAAATGTCTCTTATTAAGTTTCTGCCGGGTTATAAAGAAGAAAAGAAAAGTATTAAAACGTTTTTACGAGTACCCGGCGTTAAAATTAATTCGATACTCGAATCGTTTAATAAATTTCTCGACATAACTGAGTAAGTTAGTATCGATTTTAAGCCAATATCGAGTCCAAGGTAAATTGTCCCCCGCCTTGGAATTAACTCATTCGAAACACTGGGTCTTACCTTAACTGCAAACCGATATCGATTCCAGCTTCTACGACCTTATTTTTCTCGTATCGGTTTCTTTGCGGGACGCACATGGTGCGTCGCACCGTAACAGAGGACGCACCTTGTGCGTCGGTGAACAGCACACGCCACGCGAGACGTTTAGATATCGGGTATTTTATTTGGAAGAGCGTATTTTCCAGGCTGAGCCAGGTGTCGCACGGAAACGGATAGAATTGTCCTGGAAACGCGTTCTCCCGTAAAAACCACCGTCAACGACGTGCAAACGCATTTATCAATCCGCGCGTGTTGGCGCATACACGGTAGCGGTGTGTGTACGCGTATGATTATCGAAATAAATCAGTTCGTGCAGCTTTTATCGAGCTCCGTGCCCATTTGCATTTTCGTGGTACATCCCTGCGGCTTTTGTCGTCCCTTTATGCTCGTTTTACACCGTTCGCGGTTACCGTTGCAGCTTCGTTCGCTCGTGTTTGACGACGAGCGAAATACGCTCGAGGAAGGACAGTAAAACCGTGCTCGCGTTACCTCGCCGCCCCGTTATCGTTAAAAGGATACGATACTCTTTGATTTAATATTTACTATACGGGATTTAATATTTGCTATACGGTACTCGAAACTCGAGACTCCGTTATTTAGGATGATTTTTACGACGAAAAGGATCATTTTTGACTGCCCCGTATAACGGAAGTAAAATTCTTCGTCCATTTATTATTAGCGTGAAATGGCCGATACATTAGCGGATATGTTTTATTGGAAATTTTACGTTCGCCGCGAAACGCGACGTGTTTATCGAGCGAAGTCTCGCGTTACTTTTATTCCCGCATTCGAGCCGGCGTACCTAGAAAGATGAATTTATAGTTATTCCAAGACGATATTCCTCGCACGTCACGGTGAATACGTGCGTGAATATTTTACGAGGTTGTTAAAAAATCTCCACTCCGCGGACGCAGTTTCAGCGCAGCCTTTTTGCCCGCGAACCCAGCCTTCAAAAGAGAAAAATTCTGAAGGAAAGGGTAGAACGAAAAAACGTTGAAAGAGACCTGCTTATCGCGGCCTTTATCTTTTTATCCACAATAAGCTGATACTTGATTTTCTCAAAAGAGCCCACTCACCGGGCTGAAAAAGCACCGTGCGTCTTGACCGCGACGTTACAAAATTCCTTTTTCCCCTCGGCTTTTCCTTCGCGAAATAAACGCGCCTCTGCTGAATGTTGAATAGATTCTTTCCTGAATAGAGAGAATTCGCGTCCGAAGGAGAAAGCAAGCAGCAAATTAACGTAACAACGTTTAATTAAAAGATTCTTGGAGTTATACAAACCCAGTTCCATCAGTCAGGGTTAATTAGATCCTTCCGCGGTTCCTTTCGTTTATTTAACACAAATCGTCTAATAATAGCCGTTCAACGCTTCGAGTTTACCTTCAATCCGATACCCTGCTTGTCTATCTAACTCGTAGCTATCTAACGCGTGAATATTTAAACGCTTTCGAACCTTTTTAACCGGCTACGAAAAAAAGAGAGCTGCTCTATTTGTTCTCGCTTTTTTACCACTCCCCGAGTGCTAATAGCGATAAAAAGATTTCAATCTTTTTGCAAACGCGGAAGTTATCGAATCGTCGGATAAATATTGAAAACGTTAAGCTTGACGGAGATATTTTTCGAATCACATTTTGCCGAGGAAGCTTCTATGATAGCGAATCTATCGATCGCTATTGTTCCCCCGTGTCTTTTGCCAAACCGCAAAACCAGTTACTTTGATTACCAGCTAGTGGTCGTCCTCGATGTACATTTCAGCACACTTATTCGATAACGTTAATAGTTTGACAGTGGTTTAACCGAAAACGTTTCGCGTTTACTCCATATCCATTTCCTACCTCCTGTTACCCAGTTTTCCTGCAAATCCTGTTTGCGTGTCCATTTCACGGTATCTCGCGTCATCGCCGTTTCGTTAACAGTTCAGGGCGTTCATTTCTGAGCGAGCGATACCAACTTCTTCGTTCGACGAATTGAATCAGCCTTAAATAGTTTAGAAGTCTCGATAATTTTGTTCGTAGTACGAGAAAGTACGCCTCTTTTGAAACGTCCTGTAGCGTATATTCGAGTGACAGAACTTCCGATTTTTTCTCGTGCATGGAATTTTCTACATGACGAAATCCTGATGGACGATAAGTCGTTTTTTCAATGAGAGGGTACAATTAGCGGTAATTAAGAGCGAGCCGTTTCGAGTGGAAAACCCGTGCGCGTTGCCAAGGACATCGTGATTGTTAAGCCTGCAAAAGCGCCGACAATTAGAAGATTAGTTTACCCCTTAACCGCGAAACGATTGCGTGTCCTTCACCGATAAAAAACTTCCCTTTGACTAGAATATACATATACAAAATCATAACCAGCAGCGAAAAGGTTAAGCAGTAACATAAATCATCTAAATGTCGGCGTAATATGATCTTGCATTTTTGAAATAACATTTTTAGAGGTTACCCAAGGCTGAACGCGACTTAATTATTTTTTTATAGGCCATCATTTTTATCGGAGATACAGAAACTATAAAGATTTTGGAATAGGTACTGTGCTGTTCTTCGTGGCGGTTTTATTAAAGGCAATATTGCCTCCTTTAGGTCTTTAAACTAGCGGGATTTTCAGGAACTGTCGACTTACCGGGTATGCTGGTTCCAAGCGCGACGAAAGCCACCGCCGTGACGGAATCCTTGATTCCCAATGTACACCCAAAGTAGGATGCGACGTCCCCGATAACTGCCGTCACTACGCCGATACCGCATATGCTGACGACAAAGCACAGATAACCACCGGCGATATCTGAAATTCGTTATAAAGAAATTTCACTAATCGTAAACTTGATAGACAATGTGGTATTGTACTTTTAACATAGGCGGTCTTTTATCCTTCGTAAAGATTATGTACACTCGCGAGCAACGTAGACCTGTCTCGAATAAGAAGGAGCGTGGGTGGAGCTTTCGCCAGGAGGCGTGGCTCGACTGTCGACGCGAGTCGAACTGACACGAGTCAGACATGCACCGGAACTTTCCTACTTTCTCTTCGAATCGAGAGAAGAGATATTCGCTTGCAAATGCATAATATGATTTATTGTGATCCCGCGTATGCTGTAAAATGTACCGTATAAATTACACGGATAACGTGACACGGCTTGTCGGTTCGCTTCTTCCTTTAAATTACGAGCGCGACTTTTTTAGACACACGTGAAAATAACGCTCTTTTATGCTTCGTGACAAAACGATACAGTTGCCCATTATTGCTTTATCCCTTTAATAATACGTTGAAACCCTTGGTAGCTGAAGTTGTCTGCCGCTTTCATAAATCAGCCGAACAAAGAAGCACACTTAATTCTTATTAGCAGCGATAGTAGCAAACGAGCAAAGTAGTTGTTCGGAACAAGGAAGGTGTTAACGTCTGGTTGCGCGAGACGTCTAAGCACGAGCACACTTGTAAACGTTAATTAAGCTCGTCGACATCGGCGTGTTTATCTTTTTCTTCTTGTAGCCTCCACTGTTTTGGTTAACTAAGCGCTTCAGAGGTAATTAAGTTTCTCACGGATAATCTGTGTTTCCGTCTGCTCGAACTTCCTTACTATTTACACTCGTTCAATGGGCTCCGTCGAATGATTACGAATTGTACCCAAACGGGCATTGAAAACGTCGACGATCCCCGTACGTCGACCGGAAGAGCAAGCTGCACTGGGATTCGAGCGAACCTCGGCAAACGCGTTGAATACGTCGGTCTTGTACCCAGGGATCCCCTTCATATTGCAACAGCATCGTTCTCTCCCTGATTTTGATTAACGTACTACAAACTTCATCGTATTTGCTAATCAGCATAAGCTTTCATAGCTCGTGTTCAGTCAACACGGACAGATTAAGGATACCGAGTTATCTAGTCACCTGAGAACGATGTTCAACCGCTTGCATCCCGTTCATTGCTGGCTGGCTCAATCTTCGTACATGTATCGTTGCCACGTAGGTACAACCTGTACTCGTCGTTCACTTTACAAGGGAAAATTCTCGTGGGAACTTTAGACTTTACTTTGGATTGAATCCTAGCGCGGGTAATGGCAGTGGGATACGCCCACAGCGCGTCTACTCATAGTTTGGGACACGCCCATAGCTGGCTCATATTCACAATTAGGACACATATAGCTGGGATACGAAACCGATATATCAATTATAGCTGGGTCTTAAACGTAAACGCGTACCAACTGGAGGCAAATCTTAACTATAGGTATTCGAAATATGGGCGTGACCCAGTTGTGGGTGTATCTCGAGTACTTCCCATTCGCGATTGTGTGAACTACGAGTATTCTAATACGGTTATGTCTTCGATGCGGAGGTGTCTTAACTGCGCGCGAATCTATCATGGTCGTTAATTTCGTTAATCTAACGCTTCCAGCCATTTGCTACTCGAACGTTCGAGTTCTGATTAATTAGAGGGTCGAAGATCAGATAACAGTTTTGGTAGCTCGGTGAAACGAAATATCAACGCGAAGGGTGCTCGAATTGCCGCGTTATAAAGCCTTGCGAGCTTTAATCGTTGATGGATCGGTTCGGTTTCTATTTGCTCATCGCGTTGAATTATTTGTTCGTGGCGTTTCAACCGAGGGATTGTAGCCTTGACGGTTCGTGGATCGATATATAGATGGATTCCGCAAGGTAAATGAAAGCGATATGTTACTCTTGCACAATTTGCATTCCCACGCAACATCGAGTTCGTCCTTCTGCAGAAATAGTGGAAGAAGTTACGCGACGACGGTCTGAAAGCTTTCGGAGTTCCTTCTCCAAATATTGAAGCCAAAGTAAACTCAATTAGTACGTACCGTTAATGAGGTGCTTGAAAATCCCTTTAAATTAAAATGAAAGTAGCAAACGAAGCGTTTCGAAACTGTGCATCGCGGGACGTGCCACTTGTATTTTGGTAAATTTCAAATTATCACCAGCACGAGGTAGAAACTCGGCTCTTCAACTTTAATATATACATAGTTGCGCGTGTACCGCGTACAAGCACGATGCACCAGCTGCGCTTGCAAATGTGCAACTTCCACGAGTACCCATTAGGGCAGCAACCGAACAACGGGCTTTTTGCAAAGCTCCGTTATCGATGACAACGCGACTTCGATCGCCGGAAAGTTCGATGAACCAACTTTGCTTATTTTCCTGCGTTACGGGCTTTTGGAGCTGGGAAGGATATTGCGCGATTCAACGATTCTTGACCACGTGTTCTCATCCATAATCGTCCATTATTTTAATCGCTCCAAGTTTTAGGTCACAAGAATTCTGGTATAGCAGTAGAAGGGTGTTTTGATTTCGCAAGCGTCCTGTTCAGCAACACATACATATGTATACTTGATTATTGCCCTATCACGTGCCTATTGCTGTAAGTAGCATGAGTCAGCTGTTCGGACGAGTAGATTGGTCGAAACGATAAAATAGCTGTGCCGATAGCATCGCGTTGGCTAAATCTGATCTAGCATACAGCAATACCTCGACTCCATCTGTTACTACCGGTATTAGAGCCTAACCCAACGAAATGAAATTTCCGCAGGTAATTTCCGCGTGCCCCGCAATCCAGCAGCAGCAGTAGAAGCAGCAGTCTGGCCGGATATCGATCGACATTACTAACCGGCCTGTTCATTTTTACAGAAGTCCTGTCGGACGAAGGAAACTCGCTGGCAAAACGGAATTACGCTTTTAATTGAGAAAAATATCCGGGCAATTACGCCGGAGATCCAGTAGCAGGAGTTGTACAATTTATTCGTATCACGAGTCTATGTTCGCGATCGATCTTAGCCTGTTTTTATTAAAACACCCTCGTAGCCGGCCGCGTAAAATTACGTCGCGTTATCAAATCCCGTTGGTATGCTTACAATTTTCAATTTTTATTCCAAACAAATAGTCGGATGCGCGGGATGGAACTTTTAGAGCTCGTATACCGGCGTACGCGAAATATCTTCTCGTATTTTCGAGCGTTATTACTTGTTTATCGCGTAACATGGGAAAGGAAATGTGTTCGGTTTCGCCTGTATCGCGGGAATGGCTAATACGGTAAATTGTAGGCGACGATAAATATTCTCTTACCGAATCTTGTCATTTAGAGTTCGATCTTTTATGTCTCGTAAAATTCGAATCGAGAAATAAATACAAATAAATAAAATTCACGGTAAACAAATTAATTGGGATAAGAAGTAAAATATAATCGAATAGAACAACGAGTCTCTTCGCCAGATAAGAAAGAGATATAAATAATCGAATAACAGCATAAAAGAAATATATACTTGATGGTTTCACGTTTCCCAAATCCAGCTACCTCTGAAGTTACGTTATCCACAAAAAGTCCTCGAATACCGAAAACACGAAACGAATAGCGTATCAGATAGGGCGACACGTCTGTCACACGTTTTATCGTGAATCTTTCAACGACTACCTGAAAGGATCAGATAACATTTTCACTGGCGATGGCAGACGAAAAATGGGCCAGGAGTACCCTAGAAATGTTATACCAGCGATCTTCTTTTCTCCTGATAAGAGAACGAACGTGCGAGGATATAAGCCGATGATAACCTTACTTTACACGCGAGAAGAAAATCCGATTCAATGTTTGACGATATAGAGCGTGGCGTAGATCAACACGGGGTGCGACGCGTGTAACGAGAGGATGAACGAACGGCGATATAACGCGTAGCAATGCATCGCGTAGTAACCATCGCGTCGCTATATCTTGCATCCTGAGGCTGTTCAATTATAGTTAGTTGTGGGCTCTCATTTTCTCTGGAGAATGTCAGAACGCTGATGTAGATCGCCGAGCAGTTTCAAAGCGTTAAGGAGCATACTTAATCACTTAATTTCTGTCTAGCCATCTCCGTTTACTTTGAAGGAAGAAATTCGATCGTCTCGAACAGCTCGAACGAGATTCAATTATGCGAGCTAGGGAAAGATGAAAAGTCCCTAATTAATCTCGCAAGCTGTCCGCTTAAGACTTTTTCCTTCCTTACACGCGATCGACTTTAATCGGCCCAGTTTACCTGAAATTATCAACTAACTCGGAAAACACGATCCTTCTACTTTACTTCGTTAACCGAGCGAATGGCTAATTGTCGTGTCGGAATAATTTAAAGGATCCATGTCCAGGATCGTCCGTAGACTGTCTGCCAAATTCTGGACAGAATGAAGAGGACGAGAGAGAGAGAGAAAGGGGAGTAGACAGAGAGGAGAGACAATCAGACAGAGAGGTTCTTCATCCATTGTGTACCATGCAATTAGCCCAGCCGTTTACGTCGCGTCGTTCGAGGCTCTGTACAATCCGTGCGAACACCTACGTGTGTTCCATAGCGAGTACACAATTCTAAGCTCTGACCAGCAATCTGACGTATCTCGGCATTTAGCCATTCCCGTTACAGACGTAACTGCTATTAATTCTTGTGGAAGAAACGTGGATCTTAGAACAGAGAATCGACGAGCACTTTGAAGGACGGGGTTAATGTTCCTCCTGAGACACGATAAACTACAGATGTATACGTGTCAGGGCTAATGTCTAGCTTTTATCGATAGAGTGTGCGGAGCTTCGATAGGGAAGGGGTACATCTGAGCTATACTATATGTATTGCTAGCGATATAAAATAGAAACGTTTATCATAGTGGAACGATTATACACGACCTAACAGTAAATCACGTTTTATACCAGCGTTGCTGCAATTACGACGGCATAAGCGATCACGGTAGTTGACTCGAAACACGTCTAAAACCCTTGTTCAAAGGTACGTCACGATCTCCCATGCTTCAACAAGATGAAGA